GCGTGTCTGAAGCTCGACCAACAGCTAATCACATGAATCTCCCAGCCCGGACACACAAGCACGCGGTTTGATTGGCTAGAGCTTGTACTGGCATATGATTTGATTGGCTGACGCTTCCGTCGAAGCTTGAAAAGTTGAACTTTTCTCAACTTTTGAAGCGAGCAACGGAGGCAAAGCGAAGCGACGGAACCACAATGCAGTTTGGCAAAGCGTGACGTCACCCCATTCAAAGTGAATGGGAAGCAGCGTTGAAGCTTCATAGCACGCCGCCGTGTGGAAGGGCCGTAAGAGTGTGCAAGTTTTGCTACATGCACCCGTACACCTCTGTGTTCATAGATGGCTCTCACCTGTAGCATTGTTTTGAGCCTGAGCAGCTGGTTCTTCAGCGAGCCGCAGTCCTGAGTCACGTGTTCGAGTGTGAGTTCATCCAGCATTGCCATGTAGCCATGCTGCCTGCCTTCAGAGGGGACAGAGCGTGAAGAGATCCTCGAAGCCTTGAGACCGTCATAGTGTTGAACAACATGGGTCCTGCGAAAAAGAGATAAAACCCAGAGGAGAGAGTCAGAGCCAGGCAGAGGGAATACAGAATGATGTTGGCTTTGTGTCTTTGCTTTCTGCATTCTACTTTTGAATTCTCTTCTGGCAACATCCTTCCAGGCCTAACCAACCTGCCATCATTGTAGAAGTTATCTGGTCCACTCCAGCGATGGTGTCTACGCCGCTGCCCTTGCCGACCGGCCCTCTCTGAGCACTCAAAGTGGGACATCCTGTCAGCGTCTATGCAGAAGAATTTGGAGCAAGATAAGACAGAGTAAAGAAACCTGAGAATATCTAAAACAGAGAAGAAGCAAGTGAAGGAGAAAAGAGCATAAACACTTTTTCATCTGAGCTGAAATGTATGAAGCCAGTGTTTGAGATATGGTGAAAAAGTATAGATCCAAAGAATAAAACTTCAATAAAATCACTTCTGTTGCTGCTGTTATTTGTTGAAGTGGATGTTTGTTGTGGAAGATAAGCTGCATTTCTGCAAAGGTTATAATTTATGTTTTTCTCTTTTTCCCAGCCAGTGTTTGTCTTTTACTAGCACTCTAAAGCAAACACAAAAAGCAAGACTGAGAGTCAATGTTTCATATCTTGTGGTAATGAATACTTCTATGTATATTTCAGATACCCTATCATGGGTATTTGCATATAAATCATGATCGGATCTCCCCTCCTTATTCTCTATTCATCTCAACTGTCTCCGACATCAAATGCAAAAAACGCGCTCACACACACAGTGACAGGCCATTACATTTTCAAGGAGGTAAAAGGACACAGTATTTGGCAACACTCAATAGCACACAGCTGTGAAATGAACCATGACCGCCACAAAATTGACAACTAACAGAGCGAGACTCTCAGGAAATCAAAAGGATCGTTGAATATCTATGTTCCAGATAGAAAGGGGAGAAAGAGAGATAGACAAAAGAGAGATAAAGAATTACTGGGCAGATTGAAAGACACCAATCCAAGGAATTCAGCAGTGGCATTTGATTTACTTTACCCTGAGTGTCACCACATAGCACAGGAGCAGACTTCAGCCTGAATCTGAACTATTACATTCCAGGAAACTTCAGCGCTTCCAGTAACTTCTTTTCAGCTCAGAAAAAGTCATTCAAAAGGAATATATTCCAACTTGGGGGTGAGAAATCCACAAAGGCAGAGAAACTCAGACGGGGAGTGGAGAGAAATGTCTCCTTGTCCAGTCAGCTGGTGAGCAGTTAAAGGGCCAGTGAGAGAAAGTCTACCCAGATCCCACTCTGTCTGCTTCTGTCTTTGTTGACAGGCTTGTTTTTCTGGGAACTCCCTAGGAACTGCAGCTGGGGAGAAATGACTGTGGTGGTGGTGGTGGTGGTGGGGGAGCAGCTGAGGTAATTGTTTTGTGTCCACGAAATAAATTCACTAGCTATAGCAGGAAAGAGAGAGAAGCTGGGGCCTCTCTCTTCTGTCACGGGACCCGGTAACTGGATGAAATTAATACATGAGGCCCCTTCTACCCATCCCTTTTTGTCTTCTTCTCCACTTCCTGGTCTGTGGCAGAGTCAGGGTGTCTTTGGGAGGGAGGGAACACCATTTCCTATCCCGTGTCTCAAGGCCTGCCCTGTGGGCTGGGTCTAACTGGACTCTTCAGCTTCTCTTGCTTTCACTCTGACGCTTTAGCACTAGCCATGACACACTGCGCTATAAATATGGTCGCTTCCGAAAAAGGAGTAGGAAGGGACAACACGCCGATTCACATTCCTCTGGAGTGAACATTCTCCTCTCCCTCTCCCTCCCTCTCTCTGTCGGTTTGCTTCTCTCAAAATCAAATCATTGTTTACAGACTGAAGATGACATCAGGGGTGTAAAGATGCCTCAGTGATGTATTTGCAGTTGACTGTTTATTAGGCACACCTAGCTAAAACTAATGCAGTCTAATACAACAGGCCTGCAATAAATTTGTACCATCTGCAAGGTTGTAATGTTCCCTTTTTGTCAAAGCTGTTTTAGAGAGGTGTTCATCTAATGTTATGATCATTTTGGAGGATGTAGTTTATATCAATGACATTACTTAATATCATAAAAGCTGATAAATAACTTCATAAAAGTTAGAATTTACTGCAGAGCATTTGCGTTGGGCAGCATTGCTAGGGGTGCCTGACACCTAACTATTGTACATTAGCATGGGTGCGTTTGCCCATCCATATATTTCAATGTGCCTTATTCATTGGCCATGAATGGTAATGTAACAGGGCTAGATTCAGGAGTGAAGGGGGAAAATTCCCTTCCTAGAATTCATCATGTTTGATTATAGGTGAGGTCAAAATGTACTTTTCATGTAAGTGACCCACACTACCCACTGAATCCATAATAACGTTGTCAACACTATTATTATGTGGTAATATGATGACCTGATCACCTTTAACACCCACAAAGAAGTTATCTTACTGTTTCCCAATGAGGTTGGCCATTGATTAAATCCACAAAGAGAAAATGAGTCACAGAGAAAGCACTGAAGACAGAAATAGATATCATATCAAGATGGTAGCGGGGGGTGTTAAGCTATTAAACTAATCATGCTAACACCAGACTGCTGTTTTCAAGGCGATCAAATGTAGCCTCTGACCTTCTGAGCCCATGTATGCAATGTGGATGTGCTGTAACCATACGCAACTGTGTGTGCATCTGTTCCTGTAAACAAAGGCAGCATGATACTGCTCCAAGTCAGCTGCCTACCTGTCATTCAGAGCTAGTTGTGAACAATGTTGGAGTTGTAATTAAATAACTCTTCAGCAAACAAATATTAGCAGTAACAGCACATAATAGACAATAAGGTGTCCATTAAAAGATGCTAATGGTTGTTGCAGAGACAATTCTTCACCCAAGGCAAAATGGGATTTATTCAATTCTAGACATTTTATGCCATAAAAGGATAATGCTGGAAATAGAATGCTCAGGCCTTGGTTCATGCATTAATTTACAATTATGATCAGAGCACTAACGCTGGAGGAGTCCGAAGAATAATGGATGACTTCCAGCCAATGATACTAAAGCATTTCTCATGGCCAAAGAATAACCTCGCAAATTTAAATCCTGTTAAAGATAAATACAATTTGTGTGTGTGGGTTTTTGTGTGCTGACCGTGCAAGCCTTCCTCTGGGAGGTCCACATCCAGCATGAGGTCATCCTCATCCAGCTCTCCTGATGCCGGAGGGTCCAGGTTGTTAAGCATATCCTGAGAAATCACAGGCAAAAATCATTTCGTTGTAAGGCATTAGATAACATTATGGGTACATTTTAGGCACACTGTGAGTGCATTGTATAATTTTTCCTCTGTGTTTTTGAAAAATGTGTTTATGTTCGGGAAGCCTAACTGATGGGGGATAAATATATATATAGACAACAGGGGCCAGATACAATGAAGTCAAAAACACACAATGCACTAAAGGACAAATATACAGACGCAGTTTGTATTTTTGGGTCACACAGCATTTTGAAACATTTAAATCATTCCTAATCCTTCAATTAGCAAGACATGAATGTTTGCATGAATCAGGATCCTTTTGTCCTTGGTCTGGCATTAGCAATTCTTTCAAAGCAGCTTTTAGTTGCTACAAACCCATATTTTATTATGAGATATAAAAACCATAACTTTTTAGCACACAACAGGATTAATTGATGCTGTGACATAAAGTCCTTCTTTAACGGGGAATGCAGGTTGTTTTGTAGATACAGAGAAACTGGACTCAAGGGCAGGAACACATCTATGTGTAATGTATTAACCTGTTAAACCCTGAGCCTGTTTTTCAGGTTTCAGGCTCGAAAATGACATTCCCAGAACAAATGACCATATCTTCCCTTCTAAAAGGGTTAAATTAATAATCTTTTTTCTCAAAGTAATGATAAACCTGTCAGTTGGATGTAGAAAAGTCAGATTCAATATAGATGTTTTTTATTTTAAAGAAAATTCAGATTGAACATGGTAAAAAACTGTAAATTATAGTGTCCGTCCAAAACATATTTTGTACTTATAGTGAAAACTAACCTTGGATGATGGGTTACTAGACTAAAAGCTTTAGGAATCCAAAGTACAACATATAATAAGTACCCTGTATCAAGATTGATGCAAAACAAGTGATATTTGACATTTTTAGACAGATTTAGCAAAAAAGGCACAC